TTGTCAAAATGGACAAGTAATTAGGAACAATGATAAAAGGAAAGGTGGATAAATAAAAGGGGACAGAGGGAGTACTTTTCAGAGAATAGACACACTATAGAGATGTTCCATAACGGAAGTTTATGGATTTCAATAACTCTTTTAAGTTAACGTATAAAATAATAATTGAGGTTCACATAATCATAGTCACATATCTATGGAAATTCTAAAATTGATATAGAATTACGAAAGTTATTTAGTTCACGTGAATTCATAATAAAATTATGAATCCGTTCTTGATATGATTGGGTGGTAGTTGATCAAGTTGGTAGGGGTAGGGTACTAGGGGAAAGGCGGACCCACCTTCTAGGTGGAGACCGTAGGTGTACGTGTACCTGGTAATTTTCAGAAAAAATCATGCATATATATGCATGTTTATTTTGACAAATTAACAGAAATTAGGATATAATTAATCGTGTCTAGGTTTGTATTCAACTAAAGTATTATTCTATTATTTATTTTTTAAGTTTATCATAAATCTCAATATAATATTGATGCACTTAAAAAATTTTAAGTCATATATTTGTCTTTGCACATCGAAGGGGCTTAGGGTGCGAGGGACGAGCAATGGGGTGAGGGGAGGGGGAAGGGGTGTCAAGGTGTGTAAAAACAATCGTCCTAAGATATCACTTATATAGCTTAATTTTGTTCTTTCATCCTCGAAATCGTTTTTTTAAATTTTAAGAATTTTTTAAATAGTCATATGAGAAAAAGAAACAAATATTTTCCAAAAAGATCATCGTCTACTCCAACATATATCATTGTTATAAGTTATAAAATTAATACACTAAACCAAAATACTACAAAATAGAAAAATACTTTATATGAAATATTAAATAAATAATGTCTGGTTGACTTTAAAAAGTTGAAAATGTCACAATATTGCGCCACATGATCCCCTAGAGTGTTGGAAATTTTGTCGTACAAGAAATAATTGGTGACAAAATTGCTACGATGTAAATGTCTATGTAATTAATTATAGGAAATTACAAAGAAAGGGTGTTTAGGGTCTCGTAGGCCCTATCAAGACTTTTATGTGTTGTTAATTAATGGAAACTTTTTGACTAATTAATAGCGATGATAGACTTTAACTCATTCTTGCTTCGTCCCATTTCGTAAAGCAATAATTTTGATTCTTAGTTTATCTTTTCATAAAGGACAAGTTTATTTTCATTTTCTCGATATAATCAGGTGTATTGTAATATTAGAATTTAGTATTCTTTCGGTAATCAAATGATATAAGGTGAATTATAATAGATAGACAGCGACAAACTTACCATGCATTGCCTCATTTGTCAACCCTAATGACTAATGATTGACAAATTATTCATAATTGATCAAAACTCTTGACTATTCTTTTGGAGAATCCCAATGGTACCTTTTTTGTATTTGGAAACAATCAATGATCCTTCCAAGCTTTGCCTTTATAAGACATGGGTTGATTTTCAACTTTATAAAGTGAAATATTTATTTACTTTTTGTAGGTTTATGCAAAGATGAAACTAACATGATCCTTTTTATATTCATTCTTGTTTTTGGAAGGACAACTTTCACATATAACAAACATAAAATTAGTATTTTTATGTTATAATAAAGTTTAAATAATTGTGCTCCATAGTAAACATATATATGTATAATTCGCTATACATATACAGTTGAAACGAATTGTATAAAACGAATTGTATAAGACGAGAAAGAGAGAAACTATATACAATTTGAATTTGTATAAAACGAGAAAGACAGAAAGACAAAATAGACTTGGACGGGAAATTATTTGTATTGTATAGTTATAAGTGTATAGGACGATTATATACAATTTGAATTTGTGTAAAATGAGAAAAAGAGAAAGACAAAAGAGACTTGGACATGGAATATACAATTAAATCGAATTGTATAAAACGAGAAAAAGAGAAATTATATACAATTTGAACTTGTATAAAACGAGAAAGAGAGAAAGGCAAAAGAAATTGGACAGGGAAGTATTTTTATTGTATAATTATAAGTGTATAGGACGAAAATATATGTATTTGCATGTGTATATACAATTTTCTCTCGCTTTATATAAACAGAAACACAATTTATACATTTTGTTTCTATTTGTATAAGTGAGAGAGGCGAGGGTGGCGAGCGAGATCTGGGAGAGGGGAGAGAGGACAATGAAAATATATATATTTATACAATTTTCTCTCGCTTTATACAATATAAAAAGCGAGAGAGGCGAGCGAGACTGCCACCAAACGAGAGTGGCAAGCGAGATTTCACTAGGAGAGTGACGAAAATAGCTATAGTTTGCTATATGATACAATTAAATTAAAATATATTTATATCACTTAATTTGAATTAATAATTTGCTATTATATATAATTTTTTCTTTTTTGAAACTATATATTTATTATTCAGAGTAGTTAAGTGATTGTATATTACACATGAAAAAAAGTTACTAATGACTTTTGGTGGGTGTAGATACTGAGTTTTGGTACAGTTGACAATTGTTGACTTAGAATTTTTAAAATTGGAATTGTGTTTTTGGCCATACTTTTTACAATAATTATTTTTTTAAAAAAATATGGAATATAATTTAAATGAAATTATTTTTATAAATGAAAATTTTGGGATAAAATTTAAAAAGAAAAAAATAATAAAAGTGAAAATAAAGTTTTGGCCTTTTGATTATTTCTAAATGCCAAAATACAACCTCAAGTTGGTGAAAAATTATCATTAGTCAAATAGGTTAATTTATATTTATTCCATCTTCCGGATGGATAAAAAGACATCAAATTTAAGGTATAAATTTTATTCTACAATTAGTGATTTAAATCAAATTGAGTATAATTTTAATAAGCTCAATTTATTCTTGAAATATTTCATCTCATCTTATGAATAAAATTACATTTATCTGTTTAGCTTGTATATTGACTAAGTTAATATTATTTATAAATTCAGTTTAATCTGTTTATTTCACATCACGTATAGAAATACTGAAATATAGTTGACACGAGTCATTGACCCTTTCAATTTGTTTAATTATTAAACTTATAATTTAATGTCCCTAGCTACATAAATAGCTTTAAAGACAGAACAAGTTGCCATTGGCAGCATGCACAACTTGGTACTATAAGAACCCCACTATTAGTAGCTTTATTATTGACACCAAACTATAAGTCAAATTATATTAATTGATTATTTTTAAGTAAACTAACATTTAATGAGTTCAAAACAATATATGAATTAATCATGATTATGTGAAAGAAGTGTATTTCCTAATACATATATTATACACGATGAGATAATGTAAAGTATAGTAAGAAAAAGGTTTTACCAAATATCTATTGTATCACAACGTAGCTTATGAATTTTTTTAAAAGGAGGACTTAATTTAGAGTCGTTTGGTTTAGAAGCAAGTTATGCATAAACCGGTTATAAGGAATATAAGGCGGGAATAGTAAATATAGTAATTGTTTTACATGAAAAAGTTCTCCAGTGGATATTTAGAATCTGATTTTATTTCAACAAAACAAAATTTGATTTCTGCACAAAGGATTATCTTTGTAATCTAATGGTTTTAATTAATTAGTAAATGCATTACAAGTCTTACATTCTTATATTTCACATGACAATGCACAACTAATGTATACAATGTAGATTAGTTTATCTGATCACTTTCTATATATGATAATATACGTCATTCTTTATACTAAAATGGTGGACTAAATAATTTTAAATTTGAATAATATTCATAATCGAATGTGTGATAATAATCATATAAAATATGATATTTTAAAAGTATTATTCTTTTCTCACCGATTAAATAATGTCAATACTATAATTTAGTGCTTGTGATTTGTATATGTTTACAACCACATGTTTTATCATTTATGGGGTCAAGATTGAAGTACATTCAGCAGTGGTCAGGTTATATACGTAAATAAAGACTAATTCAAAATCGTATGAACACTCTTCTTTTTTTTTCTCCTTCAAATATAGGGAAAATTTTGGTGTGAATAAAAGACAATGATGATGTAAGAAGAGTGAAGGTCCTTTTGATGTAATATAAATTTATTGATTTTACACCTAAAGATATATTAATTTATTATATATAGGATATACACAAATATATAACCAAGTCTTTATTATGGTCTACTATTCCCTCTATTCCAAACTTCCAAGTCATGTGATGTAAATTTATTTTCTTAGTTTATTCAAGAAAATAGTAATATTTTTATTGAATCATAAGTAAATTTAATTTTATATTTCTCATTTCATTACTAGGTAAGATAATTTTTAGTCTCATAACGCACTCAAATATCTTTTATAATTTCGTTTATCGAATATATTTAAGAAGTATTTAAAGGAAATCTTTTACTAGACCCACAAAAAAAACCTTTTAACCTGTTCATTTCAACAAATTAAAAAAGTTTATAATTATTTTGTTTGTCAAGTCGCATAATTTTTCCTTAAAACAACTACATAAAGTACTATAATAATCAAAATTTGATTTTCAAAATGAAACATATGGAGTTTAACAAACTAATTCAATTCAGTGTCTGATATCTATATTGAAAGTCAACTTCATGCATTGCTTGAGCCCATTACTAAAGTGACATTAATGGTTTTGATTCTCTAAACTCGAATCTCATACTATCAAATATTCTTATCCATCCCATCACAATCCAAGTCCGATAAAAATTCAATCACATGTTGCCAAAAGCCAATCAAGTGGACGCAATTTCGTGGGGCGTGTAGAAACAAAAATAGTAAAAATAATTATTTTTTTCTCAAATGCGTGCCTTTGACAATTGACTCAATCTATGGTCCTTCCAGACAGCAGATAACGGTCAACTCTTCCTTAATGACGCCAATTTCTTAAATGTCAAAACTACTAAATAAAATAACACTTCAATTGTTTGCCGTACTAACTTTCCAAGTCCTTTTTATTTCCTCTATAAATATACACACACTTCTTATCTTTAAAAATCAAACAAACAAAAGCAGCAACCAAAAAAAAAATCAAATCATTTTCCAATTTTAAGAAGAAAAAAAATGTCAAATATTCCGGTGAAAATAGTGATAATCAACACACAATACATAGAAACGGATGCCAGTAGTTTCAAATCGATCGTTCAAAAACTAACTGGCAAGAATTCCACTGTGGTGGTGGAGTCAGCTTTCGCTCCTCCACCGCCACCACTATCACCCGTGGCAGCTTCGTACAATGAATGCGGCCACGGGAGTAATAATTATTTGGAAGATCAGAATGTTGGAGCGAGTTTGGGCAGATTGAAGTCATTTAACGAATTTGACAAGTTGTTCAAGGAGTTACCTACTTTAGATGATCTTCTCCGTCTTTATTCGGATGAAATACAACAATAACATATTCAATATAATGAGTGAGAGAATATTTTCGAAAGACTCTCGATATGTATATGAATTACGTTACTAATAATTAAAACATTTCTGCTAGTATTTTATTCATTCTTTGTTTTAGATGAACTACTATTTTTGAAAGTTTGAATTGAATATGATGTATTAAAACACCCTATACCATAATCTAATTTATTAATTTTTCTTCTCTAATTTTCTGGATTTTTACTTTTGATTTTCTAGTTAAGAGTTACTAGCTCTCTTCGTCCCAATTTGATTGTTGATTAATGTATTGGCAATTATAATAAGAAAATGAGGGGGGAAATGTTTAATATTTAGTTTAAAAGCAGATTTTATATAAAAAAGAAATGTAGGTCCCTTCCACTCTTTTCATCATTTTTTCTGTTTTTGAGGTTTATCTTTCAATTTCTTAGTACGAATTTCGAAAGACGAATGGGTGAGGGGATTCTGAATAGTTTACTAAAACGTCCTTACTAAGTTTTTGATAATTATTGTTTTATAGTTTGATTAGAAATGGAGTTTAAAAAAATGAGGGAAAAAAAATCTAATCATATAGTCTTAAATTTAAAAAAGTCATAATACATAAATATATACTCTTTAACTTAATCTTTTTTTACATTTGTACCCTCCAACTTTAAGTGAGCATAAATAGACACTTAGGACCCGTTTGACCATGCGATATGGTATTATGATATGAAATCATGCGATGAAATTGAATTTTTGTTTGGACATGTGATATGAAATTTGTGTTCTATATTTTCTCATAAACACAAACATCCCATAAGTTGTAAAACTATTAAAATAGTCTCAGTTGTTTATTCAATCTTATCAAATAAACAAAAATTTATACAATAGTATAATAAATTATAACAAAGTTATTTATTCTCCAATCTAACTTTAATATAATAATAAAAAATAGAACATAAATTGTAGTGTACCAGTCTTTAATATAATCCTTTCACATATTACGAACAATTTTCTCACATTGAACTTGCATTTCTTGATCATGTGACCGACAAAACGAACTAACATTGTTACTTTGAGCTATTTGTTTGGTCAATATCATCTGCAAGTATATTTTCATGCTCATAAACTATAAATATTTCATTACTTTAACAATCGATTGGTGTGAGTTAAAGTGATTATATGTTGGTGAGAATAATAAATTTTATTTCGGTGAAAATAATAAATTTTAAAAGTAATGATATGATTATAAACTTTATTTACATATGAAATAAATGGTTAGTAGATATAAATATGGGGTTTTAACAAAATATAAACTTGTGGATCAATTTTTGTATTAAAATATCTCAAATCATGATATGGTATTCTTATATAATTCATACCATGATTTTTGGAGAATATGGAATAACATCTCATGATATGGAATCATGAGATTGAATCAGCGTATAATCGCATGTCCAAACGTTGATTCCATCTCACGATACTATATCATGATATGGTATCGCATGGCCAAATGCCTACTTAAACTTGTATAAGGTTAAACAAATAGACACACGAATCCTACATGTCATAATACACGTAGGACACCACGTAATAAATTTTCATGTAGGATGACATGTAGGACGTTTGTGTCTATTTCTTCAATTTTATACAAATTTAAGTGTCTACTTGTGCATATCCAAAGTTGAAGGACATAAATGTGAAATAAAGTCAAGTTAAAGAACATATTTATGTATTATGCCTTTAAAAAATATGTAATGTATTCAAATGTTTTTTAATATTATAAACTAAATATGTCAGGTAAAATATTGAAATTATAAAATTCTAAGATATAATAAGATGTAATCTCTTTTCAAAGAAATTAAAAAAAGAAAGTATAAGAATATTTATTGAAATAGAATAAATACCACTATTAAAAATTGAGAATTATACTAATCGCTTTTGACCTGTTTAATAGCAAAGGTAAAATTAATGATTATATCGGCAATTTTCATATATAGCAAACAAAAAATTTATATTTGTATGCTATAACAAAGTTTACATAATTGCGCTTCATAGCAAACATATAACTGTATAATTCGCTATACATATACAATTATATAATTCGCTGGCCTAAATTGTATAATTCGCTGGTCTCTCTATACATATACAATTGTATGATTCGCTAGCCTAATTCGCACAATTCGCTAGCCTATTTTGCTGCAATTGTATAATTCTCTATCCTATTTCATTGCAATTCTATAATTCGCTATCTTATTTTATTGCAATTGTATAATGCGCAATTGTATAATTCGCTGCCTATTTCGCTGCAATATTTGTATAAAATTTTCTTTGCATACAATTGAATCGAAGTAAAATGTATGTATATTGTATAATTATAAGTGTATAGGAAGAAGATATATGTTTTTCTCTCGCTTTATACAAAAACAGAAACACAATTTATATACTTTTGTTGTATAAAACGAGAGAAAATTATATTTCACTACACTTGTAGTATAATTCGTTGGTCTTTCTCGCTGTAATATTTGCATAAAATTTGCATTTGTCTACAATTGAATTGAAGTAAAATGTTTGTAAATTGTATGATTAAGTGTATATCACGAAGATATATGTTTTTGCATGTGTATATACAATTTTCTCTCGCTTTATACAAAATAGAAACACAATTTATACACTTCTGTGTATAAAGCAAGAGAGGCGAGCAGAGAAAGAGTGGCGAGCGAGATTTTTGAGAGAGAGACGACTGACAAACTTTGACTAACGTTTGCTATGGAGCACAATTAAATCAATGTGTAGCTACTTCATTTATTTTAGGTTATGAATTTGCTATTATATAGCATTATCCCTTAATAATTTCGTCTCAAATTTTTCAAGCGAAAATATTTTAAGACATACTACGCATCTTATAAATAACTTTTGTACAATGATTTTACTCAATGTTTTTTTTAAAAATAATCTATATAACAAGAAAATCTTTATTTCTGTAATTTCGAAGTAATTAATGTTCACATTCCCTTCTTTCATATGGACATGATACAAGTCAAATAGTTAAATTTTCGGTCAATTGTCATATTCTCTCTGTCCCTATTTAGTTGTTCACTCTTGAAGTGACACACATATTAAGATATCATTTATTATCATAGTTTAGTTACAATTTTACCCTTTAACTTAAAACATTATACAACTTCTCAAGTATAATAAATGCATTTTCTTGTTCCAAAAAGCATGCATTACAACTTAGTAGTACTAGAAATTTTCTAGAATTAAATAAGGGCATATTAGAAAAAAAATTGTTGTCCTTTCTTGATTTGTTAAAATGGACAATTAAATAGGGACAGATATAAAAGAAAATATGGACAAGGAAATAGGGTCATAGGGAGTAGTTATTTTTTTCACTGAACTAAAATTTTATAAGATATTCAAACTTAGATGATTAACTAATCTCATACACATAATTTTGAAATAAAATACATCATGATAGTGAATCAGACTCTGGTACCATTTAATTATATGATAAATTACTAGTTCTTGAACCAGGCTCTGATACCACATGTTAGGATTATTTTTTTCTAGAATTAATTACATATATCCTACATTTTATATTACTTATTACCATTATCCCCTATAAGTTCTACAAATATCCAGAATTTCTGATTTTTCTCTTAAGTAAAAAATGTCATTAATATATCTGACCCTCTTATAATTTATCAATGTATGAATCTGGACCTATTTTTAATGTATCAACGCTTTGATTTCTGGCCATTAATGTATCCAGACCCTCCATTAATCTATCTGATCCTCTTTTTAATGTATCAGTGCATATATCCGACCCTCTTTTTAATGTATCAGCGCTTTAAATTTTTGGTCATTTATGTATCCAACTCTCTTTTTATTGTATCAACACTTATATTATTGCATCCGTTTGAGAAATTTCTGCAATTATAAACTTTTAAAGGATAGATTGTAATTTTACCTTAAAAGTATCTGATTTATGTAATTTGCCCTTTTTTTTATGATTGTGAAAACATTAACAATCTGTGCATTCATAAATTCTAACAATTATTCATGATCGTAAAACTATATGATTTTCATATAAATCTATTACTATGATAATTCAGTCAAAAATACGTACATGAATCAGCCATAGTGATTTTCAAGTATCTTGACTTGAATTGAGCGGAAATCTTTACTTTCTTTTTGTTCTTCAGAAGTTGTTTCTCTCTCTCGCCTTATACTTTATGAATAACTTTGATGGATAAAACTATAACTTTATGGTAGAGAGAAGACCCTTTAAATAAAAGTGTTTTTAACATGATTCTTATATTTTCATCATGGTGAGTAGTGAAGATAATAGGAAGTTTTAAAACTAACAAGTGACTCCTCATTTAATGGGCACTGGAAGACTTAATGGATAGTCGAAAATTACTAAGTAACTTCCCCACTTTCCCATACATACAAGTAACTTTCCATATTTATTCAATTAAAATTAAAATTTAGTTAATAATTAAATATTAAGCCAAACTAATATTAACGTGAGTCATAAAACTAACATGTACTTGTTGTTATCTGAGTCTACTGATTGTGCCAACGACCACGTTGTCAATAGTTATTTGTAGTGAAAATAATACTATTTGTATGTCATGGAGTTCACCCATTTAAAATCGAAAGAAATGAAATTCATTCATCAACTCATCAAATATAATATAGATAAATTAACTAAACAAAATTCTATGAATACACTTATAGACGCCTGAATAAGAACAATGAAGTAAGAACAATAGAAACAACAAAAGAATGAAGTAAAATTGTAAAAGAGTTAAACAAATGCATTGATGTACATTGAAAATATATTGAGGCATATAGTATATTATAGTGAGGATTGCATACTAGATTATAGCTAGGAAGGATTAGTTACAAGTTAGTTACAAAGTTAGTTAGTTGTATATAAATGATGTATTGTGTGACATTGAAGCTTAACAAAAGAAATTTTTCTCCCTCACAATTGTCTTGCTCTCTCTCTGCGTGATCTTGAGCTCCAACAGAGCTTTGGCTATAGATTCTTGTTAGAATCCATAAGCTTTACATGGTATCAGAGCCACTGATTCTGTAAACAAGAAGATAAAGTTGTTAATTCGATGGTTTCTACTGGAGATTCAGCAGGGGAAATCACAGGAACATCAATGGCATCCACGACCATTGATCATCTTCATCCTTTGTACTTGCATCCGTCTGATTGGCTCGCTAAACATTGGAATCATGCTTACAGGAACAGATAACTACACTTTGTGGAGCAAAGCAATGCAGTTGGCTTTGCTTGGGAAGAACAAAGTAGGATTCATTGATGGAACAGTGAAACGAGATCAGTATTCAGGGAGTTTGGCTCAACTGTGGGATCGATGTAATGCCAATATTGTTTCATGGATTCTGTGCAATGTGAGTAAAGATCTACACAGTGGTGTTCTTTTCTGTTTAGATACACATTTGATTTGGGAAGATCTAAAGGAAAGATTCAACAAGATCAACAGTTCTCGTGTGTTTCAGCTACATAAGGAGATCTTCACACTCGTTCAAGGTGTGTCTTCTATCTCAGTATACTACTCAAGACTCAAAGATCTTTGGGATGAATATGATAGCATCATGCCACCACTAGCTTGTAATTGTCCTAAGTCTAAAGAGTTTTTTGAGCACCTACAATATCAGAGAATGTTGCAATTTCTCATGGGACTTAATGATGGTTATGCTCAGGCTCGTAGTCAAATTCTGTTGATACATCAACTTCCTAGCATTAATCAATTTTATGCCATGATAAGCCAAGATGAAAGTCAGAAACTAGCAGCAAATTTAAGTCGGTCAATGCCAGAAAGTTTAAATCCTACAGCAATGTATACATCAAGATCTAATTCTAGGAATAAGAAGCCATATAATCCTAATGCCTTTTGTGATTATTGTCACATGAAGGGACATATGAGAAGTGATTGTAACAAACTATTGAAGTGTGATCATTGTCACAAAACTGGGCATGTAAAGCTGGATTGTTTCAAACTTATTGGATATCCTTTAGAGTTCAAAGGAAAGAGAGACACAGTTGTTGCAGGGAACTCAATCTATGAGGAATCATTCATCCATCAGCATGCTCCACAACCTGCTCAAAAGGAGTTTCATCCAGCTGTAGAATCTGGGATGATGCCATTGCCAATGTTTACACCACAACAACATTAGAAACTCATTCAAATGTTAAACGAAACAACAGTTGGTGATACACATTGTGTAGCTAATATGGCAGGTACCTCTTACTTATCTAAGGATGATTCATTACAGTGGGTAGTTGATACTGGTGCCACACATCATATGATAAATGCTGCTAAGTATTTACATTGTGAAAGACTGATAGAAAATGCAGGTAGTGTTCAATTACCTACAGGAGATTCTACAAAGGTTTCTCACATTGGAGATTGTTCTATAGGAAAAGGTGATATGCTTAGACAAGTGTTATGTATTCCAGATTTCAAGTTCAATCTTATGTCTGTTTTAAAAGTGACAAAAGATTTGAATTGCTGTGTCACCTTCTTCCCTCATATCTCATCTGGGAAGGTGAGGGTGACTGGTAAAGAAAGAGATGGTTTATACATGGTGGATACACAAGTAGCAGATGTGCCTAAGAGATGTTTAACAATAGTACAAGATATTGAAGACAAAGCTACTATTTGGCATCAAAGGCTATGTCATATACCAATGAGTGTAATCAGAAAGATTCCCAGTTTAAATAAGTTTGGAAGTAAATTTGTACTACATGATTGTGAAGTTTGTCCACTTGCTAGACAAACTAGGCTGCCCTTTCCTAATAGTACTAGTAGATCAATAAGTGTTTTCCAGCTGGTTCATTTGGATGTTTGGGGACCATATAGAGTTGAAACTTTTGATGGTATGAGATATTTTCTTAGAATTGTTGATGACTATTCAAGATGGACATGGATTTTTCTAATGAGATTGAAATCAGATGTTGTTAGTTTGTTAAAGCATTTTTTTACAGAAGTTGAAACTCAGTTTGGTAAAAAGATTCAGAAGATAAGGACAGATAATGGTTCTGAATTTTTAAATTCTAATTGCAATGAACTTCTTAAGTCACATGGTGCTATCCATGAAAGTTCTTGTCCATATACACCTCAACAGAATGGTGTAGTGGAAAGAAAACATAGACATATTCTAGAGACAGCAAGAGCTATTAAGTTTCAGGCTGGTTTTCCAGATAGGTTTTGGGGTTTGTGTGTTCAAGCTGCAGTGTATGTGATTAACAGAGTGCCTTCTGCTAATTTGAGTGGTGTATCATCCTTTGAGAAACTATACAACAAGCCTCCTTCAATTGATCATTTAAGAGTGATAGGCTGCTTGTGTTATGCTACTAATCTTACTAAGCAAGACAAGTTTAGTCCTAGGGCAATAAAATCTGTCTTAGTGGGGTATGAGACTACACAAAAGGGCTACAAATTGTACAATTTGGAGAGTAAAACATTCTTTATTAATAGAGATGTAGTCTTTGTTGAATCTGTGTTTCCATTCAAAGACAAGTCTACATCATCAGCTGATCATGTTTCCAATACAGACTTGTTCAATTATGATGAAATGATCACTATAGAAACACAACCCACTATATCTCATTCTAGTTCAGATAGTGTTGCTCCACAAGTGTCACTCCATCAGGATGTTCCTGCAATAAGAAAGTCTGCTAGGAGTGTTAAACCTCCAATCTGGCATAAGGATTACATTACTACAAGTGGGACTAACACATGCTTGTATTCAATAACTTCAGTACTAGATTATTCTGGATTATCCAACAAGTATCAAAGTTTCATTTCAAAGTTCTTAGTTGAAAAAGAGCCAGCTACCTATGAAGAAGCTATACAAGACATAAGGTGGGTGGATGCAATGCAAAGTGAAATAAAAGCTTTAGAAGATAATCAGACTTGGGAATTAGTAGACTTGCCAAGGAACAAGAAGGCCATTGGCCGTAGATGGGTTTACAAGGTGAAGTATAATTCAGATGGTGGTGTAGAAAGATTCAAGGCACGATTGGTGGCCAAAGGTTATAATCAAAAGGAAGGTTTTGATTACCAAGAGACATTCTCACCAGTGGTTAAAATGGCCACTGTAAGGTCTATTAATCACTTGCAGCTGCTAATCATTGGCACATTCATCAAATGGATGTGTACAATGCCTTTCTACAAGGAGATCTCTATGAAGAGGTATACATGACATTGCCTCAAGGATTTAGTAGAAGACAAAACAACAGCAATGGAAACAATCAAGTGTGTAAATTGCTAAAATCACTCTATGGCCTGAAACAAGCATCAAGGCAGTGGAACATCAAGCTTACACATACCTTGATTGAATCAGGATTTCATCAAAGCACAAGAGATTATTCTTTGTTCACAAAGAGAAAACAAGACAAGATAATGATAGTTCTTATATATGTAGATGATTTGTTATTAACAGGAAATGATCCAGCAATGATTCAGCAAACTAAGGAGAGGTTACAACATGCTTTCAAGATCAAGGATTTGGGAGAACTAAGGTACTCTCTTGGGCTGGAATTTGCTAGAAATGATGCTGGAATTCTAATACATCAAAGGAAGTATGCTTTAGAGCTCATATCAGACATGGGGTTGGCAGGTGCCAAACCAGTCTCAACTCCAATGGAATTGAATCAAAAACTTACTACAGTTGAATTTGATACTAGTATTTCATCTACATGTCATGATGAAACATTAAAAGATCCTACAGGATATCAAAGGTTAATTGGAAGGTTGTTGTATCTCACAACTACTAGACCTGATATATCATTTGCTGTACAGTGCTTAAGTCAGTTTATGCACTCTCCAAAGACTTCACATATGGAGGCTGCAATGAGACTAGTTAGATATGTGAAATCAGAACCAGGACTTGGCATTTTGATGGCATCAACAGGGGGAAATGATTTGCATGTTTTTTGTGATGCTGATTGGGGTGCATGCATTAATAGTAGAAGATCAATTACAGGATACTTGGTACAATATGGAGGACCACCTATATCTTGAAAATCTAAGAAACAAGTGACAGTGTCTAGAAGTTCAGCAGAGGCAGAATATAGAGCAATGGCATCTACAGTTGCTGAGATTGTTTGGATTGTTGGTCTGTTTGATGAACTTGGAATCAAGATTAACCTTCCTGTGCCATTGTATTCAGATAGTACTTCTTTCGATTCAAATAGCAGCTAATCCAGTGTTCCATGAGAGAACAAAACACATAGATATAGACTGCCATTTCGTGAGGGAAAAGATACAAGAAGGATTGGTTAGTACAACACACTTGACATCATCTGAACAACCTGCAGACATATTCACTAAGGCACTTGAACGAGATTCTCATATACATCTTGTATCCAAGTTAGGAATGAAGAACATCTTCATAGTTCCTAGCTTGAGGGAGGGTGTAAAAGAGTTAAACAAATGCATTGATGTACATTGAAAATATATTGAGGCATATAGTATATTATAGTGAGGATTGCATACTAGATTATAGCTAGGAAGGATTAGTTACAAAAGAAAATTTTCTCCCTCACAATTGTCTTGCACTCTCTCTGCGTGATCTTGAGCTCCAACAGAGCTTTGGCTATGGATTCTTGTTAGAATCCATAAGCTTTACAAAAATATATCCCAATATTTATTTATTTAAATGAAATCTGAATGGATATGTTTTCAATAGGTAAATATTAATTGGTAATTTAATAATGGAAAGTTTTGAGATTTGAGAGTCTTAGGAAAATAATTAAAGGGCTGTAACATAAAGTACCTTATTTCGTGAATTAAAATTAAAATTATATTATTGTATAAATAACAATGATAAAAGTTATACAATCAGCTAGATATAGACATATATTGTAGTTATTTTTTGATTAATATCATATTTATAGCTATTAAAATTCAATAATTCAATAATTATAATTATTTTTGTAAGTTGCTCGCTTTCCAAATGTATCCATTAGCCCAAGCCCAGAAGATAGTAAAGCACTCAGGCCCACATGAATTTTGGGTACACAAATTTGAATGTTTCATAAGCTACTTTGGTATGAAAAATTGTTTTTAGTACGAAGTGTTTTATTTTCATAAGGTAAGAAATGTCGTGTAAATTGAAATTAGTTGATTTCAAAACTAACATCGAATATCAAGTGAAGAAAGGTTTATTATATATGTTAGTTTCGTGTCTCGTCCAAAGAGAGCTAGTAATATGAACCATAATATTGCTATTTCACTTTCTTCCGTTATCGTATTATTCATTGTTGCTATTTTCCCCCCTTTATTTTTCATTGTGCTTTCTTGACTATTGTTCCTTTCCAAATTTGCTTTCCTATTCTCTATTATTTGAATTGAAATCTATAAAAAATAGTTTCTACCTTCACAAGATAGAGGTAAGATCTGAATACACGTTACTCTCTCCAAATCTCAAATTTCATTTAATTATATCCGATAAATTTATCATGTGACTTTGAACAATTAGATGGCTTGCTTGAGGCAAATTTTAGAAAAATAGTTTATTATTCGAAAAAAGATTAGGCAAGCTCGATTTGAATGTTATAGTTATGTACTTATGATTTATGAAGTGATAAAGGTAATAATATTAGTACAAAAGTAGCTTCATTTTGTTTTTTAAATAAAAAAATTCTAGGTCATTTTGATTTGGCTATTGGGAAAAGCAAATTAAAATAGCCAAAATAGGTCACTATCCTAAGTATTATTTGGAAGATTGAAGTCATTTGACAAGTTGTTGCCTCATCTTCTTCGTAGATGAACTACGATATTCAATACGTAGAGTTTGGAGAAATTGTTTAACAGATTCTCCATCAAATGACGTAGATATGTATTCGAATTATTAAAAAACTTGTATTTTTGAAGTTCGAGAGGGTAGAGAGGTGAATTGTGTAGGTAGATAATTGTATATAACTATATATTATACATATGCATTTGTATATATGGCAAGACAGTGGGAGAGGGAGGAGAGAGGCTAGCGAGATTGAGAGAGGCGAGCAAGAGAGAGAAGAGAGGTGAATTGTATATGTATATATGTTAAATAATTGTATATACAAACGTAGCTAACTATACAAACTCGAAGCCAGTCCACGTAATTAATGTATAATGTTAATCGCGAATGGTAATTATAGCAAACTATAGCTATGATGAATAATTAAA